ATTTCGTTATCAATCGTGTCCACCAGAATCCAAACGTGGGTGCGACGACTGGCACAATGGGAGCCTCAAGTTCCGAGAACCGGCGCAGTTATTAGTAGCCTGTCTTGCTGCGCGACATATCCGACGATGCAGGCTGTGGGCGGCTAAGAACGACAGCTGGTGGCCTTGGTTGACCGGCCGTTCGGGACCAGGCAAATCACGGAAGAGGTCGGAGAGGCGCAGTGATGAGGGTGTGATGAACCCCGCCCGCGATATCTTGGACAAGAAGCGGGGTGATTACTCCTGGGGATGCAGCTACTGCAGTCGCTGCAGTGGTGCCGCCGCGATGAGGGGGCACCCGGAAAGAAGTCGGTCCAAAGGCGGAGGATTTTCCTGGGATCTGAGGCCGAGAAACGCAGAGAGCGGCGGCGGGTGAATACCCACAGACTTCCGATGGGAAGCAAAGGGCAGCATCGGGAGAGGGGCCATCTGGAGGAGCTTGGAGCCCGAAGCCTCAACGATGCACCATGTCACAACGTGGGGTTTCGTAAGTGGATGAGTGACGAACACGGCTCGTGTTGAAGCACGATGATTCGACAGCGGCTATGCTACAGCGACTTCAACAATGGAAGTGAAGGAGTTGAGAAACAGGTGCCCACAAAGTCAAGACAACACCAAGTACAAGTGGAGGTACATGGAGGTATTGGGAGCGGCACATTCACTGTTGCGTTTCTTCAGAGACGACGACGAAGGTTGTGGCGGCTGGCGCTTCGGGGCTCAAACTGGAACGCGATTCCTCTACCTCCACGTTTAGGCGAGAAACCAATCAGCTTGAAGCCTGGGCGCAACGTGATGGTTGCGCTCGACGGCGTGCGACGTAAAGGGTTGCGCGAATTCCGGGGAGGCCTGAGTCGGATGTGCTGCAATTCCAGGCTCAAGCTTGCTGCGGCCAGCAATTTTGAGGAAACCGAGACAGGTACGGACAGGAACACGGACACACGGGGTGGCTGGTTCAACCTACGATCTCCATTCGGATTCCACTACATTATTTCCTGTCCGTCATGTAAAGGCAAGGTACCGGCGGCAACGGATACGATACGATGTGATGCACACCAGCATCAGCACATCGGCAAGGGAACGAGAGGGGGTGTTTTTCTCGTTGCTACCAGGCTTTGAGAGGGGGAGGAATGCTGCTCGCTGGAATCAGATCAGATGAGATGCGATGGAGGATTGGGGGCACATGGACGGATTTGACGGAGGGGCGGCGATTGCTGAAGAAGGTCGTCAGCTGTCGGCCACTACGAAAAGGAAGGCGAAAGAAGGGCCTGGCTTTCTGGCTGGGCTGACTACGGCGCATCGGGCGACATCATATTTGGATGAGCATGGTACACTTTCAGGTCATCGTCAGCCATTTGAACCCCTCAGCCGACCTAGGCTGTTGGCTGATAATGATAAGCGTCGAAGATACGGGCGTGGCTTATCTGTTCGAGGCAAGGTACCTCTGGCAGGTTGTTGACAACACAGGCCGTGTGCGCGTAGAGATATTGTGCATCTCTCGGTTTTTGTGTATCTTTACTGTGGAGAGAGGGTAGGGCGAGCGTAAGGCGTACGGCGAGGTACTCGACAATACGTCTCTCCAAACGGCACAAACCTAATTAGGTGAAGGGTCAGTTCCAGCCCCATGCGTCCTAAGTTCCAAGCCACACCGCAGCTGGGGTGAGTCTAACTTGACCCTGCACACCCAGCATCACGTTGCTGGCTCCACGGCTGAGAGTCGAAAGAGCTGATCTTGTACACAGTGTGTCGCACACTCATTCCCGCGACTACACAGAGGTCAATCGCAGTTCGCTTCTGTGTAATTCCTACTCCGGGCGGAGTGTCAACTTTGATTGATGGCTGAGTTGGAATACGACGGCGAGGACAGACTTGAGCTGGGCCTTGTTTGCCTCTGTGTCAGCCACGCATGGTTTCTTTGTTTCGACGTTGATTGCGGTTACCCCAAAGGCATCTTGGGTTGCGACAGCGCGCCTTTCCCGCTGTCGCTGGACGATGGGTAAGGGGACAACGACTCAACCGTCCCTTACACTCCTCCCCTACTCAATTGGCAACTCTGTCTTTGAGTTTCGGAAACATCCCTGTGTGATTAGGGTATCAAAGATACACAACTCAACCGCGAATACTTGCTAACATCGCGACAATTCAACAACAACACACGTCCTCCAAACAACCCACATGGCGGAGCCTACAGGTCGTCCGTCACCGCGGCGCTGGCCCCAAGGTTGACCGCCGCGGGTTCTCCATCGTGATGGATACCTCTAGTTTGGGAGCTTTTTTAACAACTTGACCGCCGCAGGTAGTCGCAAAGTACCTTACCCATGGTTCCATGGGGTCCCATGGAGGTTGAGAAGAAAATGGCCCGCGACGTGCCCATGTGCCCACGTCGCGTTGTTCTGCTGGCCCCCCGCCAACTGGAGTCGCTGAAACGAAGTTCCCACCCGTCGACCTCTTCCCCGGACTGCCGATAGGGTCAAGCAGGGCCTTCTGGGACAAACAGTTTCTGGGTACGGGGGGAACATCACCCGTGGCCTTCCGGAATTGCAGCGATATCCACACATGATTTTCGCCTAACAGGTGTGGGCTTCTAGGCCCCTTGGATGTCTTTTTTGTCATTCATCCCGTCCCTCTGCCGGATCCTCTGGGTAGGTATCTACAAGGTACAGGGGAAGGCTCCCTTCCAGAAGGCCGGCTTTGTCTTTGGCGAAAGGGGGACGGCAAGACGGGTTTGACGGGATCACCAGTGACAGACTTGCAGCAGCCTCAGTGCTTCCCTGCCGGGCATCACGTCTCGACGAATACTCCGACGCGGCCACCACACGCCACCGTTCGTCCCGAATCATTATTATTTTAATCGCAACCGCGGCGCAGGAGTGTCAAGTCACTTGACGCACCCACAAACCTTGAATCGACTCTGTCGGCACAAAAGCCAACGATGTACCCCGTCATCGACACATAAGGCATTATCGAACCTACACCTCGGCAACAGCGTGCGTGGCGGCCTTGCAGCATATCGTGTTCGTCGAAAGCTTACCAATCTGTCGGAGATGGGCAGCACCAAGACCAGGGCAGAAGAAGGCCGTGAAACTCTGGTTGATGCGAGTTGCGACTTGCGCTCTCACCAGATTGCCCGTTTCCATTTTCAGTTCCCCCCTCCACCCCTTGAACTCCACCATCGATAACACAAACTCGATTCATGAACCTCGATACCATACCCCTTGATTTCATGAATGGTTGCTCGCTCTGCCCACGAGGCCTTTTAGGTTGTCGTAGGGTTGCAGAACCCCAATCGCGATCTGACTCCTCCCACACAACCACACACTTTTTTCTCACGATTTAATATTGTGCGATATCGTCGACGTTGGGAGGAGGCATTGTCAATGTCCGTATCCGCTTCCTTTGTCGGCCAACCCCTGTCATCCCGTGACCCATCTGTCAGGGCGCCCTTGTCACCGTCTTCTTTCCAACCCCTGGCTTTGGGACGTGGAGTTCCCGCTGGAAAGAGAGCGAACACACACAAAAGACGCGGCCACGGTCTCGGTCCACAGTATCAAGCAAAACCCGCCAGCAGCAAGCAAGCCGCACTCTTCTTTCCCAGACACCGGGCGGTGACAGCGACAAAGTGTTTCCACGCGCGCGCAGGAGGCGGAACGGGGGGCCTTGCTACACGCCTGCAAGCCGCTGCTTGTTGGGCGTGGCCCCTCTCTGGTACTTGGACCAACGCAGGCCACAGCGCACACTCCCACAGCTCTCCACTACCCGGAGACGAGACCGCTTTCCTCTGCCCAAGCTTGGGAAATGTGACAGTGTCGTCATCAATCGCCGACAACCTCGAAAGAAGATGAGGTGGGCTGGCGGGCGTGGCCCATCGCGCGCCGGCCGGCCGGTTGACCGGGGACCTGGTAAACAACAAGGGCAACGAAGACCTCACAATCACACCTCTCCTATTTTTTTGGTGTGCTGCGTTGCAATTTTGAGAAAAATTTGAAATTTCGAAATTTCGAGTGAGGAGTGCTCAGATCACGTACAATTTCGAGATTCGCCAGAGAGAAAATTGATGCCCTCTTTGGCGAGATTGGAATTCCTTCCTATGCGAAGGCGAGATCCGAGGGAATGACGGTGCCTGGAAAAAGCAACGATGCGCCTCGAAAATAGAAAGGCCACACTTTAGCAGCAAGAAGCATCAACGGGAGCAGAAACGCAGCCACAGAGAGCAGCAGAGCAGAGCAGAGCAGGGGTGTCTGAGTGAACCGTCCGCCGGGCACTGCAATTTCGTGCAGAAGCCAGCTGAGTGTGTCTGTGGTTCAATCAATCAGAACCATCAGTATTGTCTTCTCTTCTTCATGTCCGTCCCCGTCGGGCCCCTTTCCATGAACAATTACAGACGATTGTCTAAGACACAGGGTCGGAAAGGGCGAGTTTGGTCGTCATAATCCATTCTCCTCCCCTTTCTGGGCCAGGGCTTTTGGGGCGTGGTACAACTACATTACACAGGACGAGTTTGCAACTTAGACCCAACCCAACCTGGCCAAGGAATCAAAAGACACGGTCTAGAATCCAAGAAGTAAGTCTTGGTTCTAGGTGCAGTTGCTTCTAACAGTTTCCAAGTAAATGCGAAAAGAATGCGCGACGTGTCCTCGCAAAGGCCAACAACATACAACCATCTGAACGCGCCGTCGTCTCTCTTACAAGACGCGCACACCACAAACACAACCTGCGATAATGCCTGGACCTTGTCCGCCGTCAGCTGGCCCCCAAGCTATTCCCGTAGACCTTGGACTTTTGAGACTTGGACACACACACACTGCTGCTACTGCTACTGCTGGTGCTGGTGCTGCGAAATGGGTGGCCGGCCGTCCAAGCACACCAGCTTGACGTTGGGGTGTGACTCTAACAATCAGCTGCCCATGGCTTGAGGGTACAACTGGCTGGGGACTCCTTTTTTAGGGAGTGGACGGTGCAAGGACATGATGGATAGCCACCATTGGTCCTCTGGCCGCAGCCACAGGTTGTCACCACCTGGCAACGGACTCCCCAGCCCACACGCCCCTTCTGCATCTGCGATTCCTGTCGGCGGCGCTCTTTGTTCGGCTTTCGCTGTCGCCGCCGCCGCTGCTGCTGATGATGATGATGATGCTGCTGCTGCTGCAATGGCTACCGGTTGGTTGCCTTGTGGTTTGGGTTTCTGGTGCGGTGCGTGCTGCAGCCTGGCTTGGGCCTTCAACCACACTTGTTCGCCTTTCTTCGCCTTCATTGCCAGGGAAGTGCAGGCCAAGCAGCTGCAGCACTGCAGCACTTGCGTCCAGGGCGCGCGACCTTGGTTTGACGTATCCGTGTCGCTGGTGTTGTCGGCTGATCGGTTGTCATCGACAGGTGAGGTAGGTACCAACCATGGTACTTGGGTCGGATCACTCAGCGTGGAGGCGGCAAGACTCACACTCGTGGCCGGTAAGGTACGGTAAGGTAAGGTAAGGTACTCCTCAGATACCTCCCCATCCTGGCCCTTCCTTGGGTTGCATCCGTCCGGTACCGTGGGTACCTCCTCCCCGGCCGCCGTCTCTGAAAGGTGCCCACCCCAGGTCTCTCACGTCTGCAAGGTCGCTCAATGTACCCCAAGTATCTGCGCGGTATCTGCCCTCCTCTGCTACTAAGTATGGGCAAGCACAGAGTAGTAGACTCATGGCTCATTGTCAGTCTGTCACTCGTTGTTCTCCCCCAATCGCCCATCCCACGCCGTATCCGTCGCCGTTCCCTTTACTTTAGCCCTGGTTGTCGCCCTTCCTCGCGCTCTCCTTCCCTTCCTTTTCCTTCTTCTTCAACACAAATCCAACAATACGAAGAATCACACAACCATACTGACGAGATTCTCTTGTCACAGTCAAGATAATCGCAACAGCTCTGCCAGCCTTGATTTGCCAAAAGTCACTAGCCGGACCGTCGACCGCTTTGCCTACCCGCAAAGTTCCACACTTGCTTTCGCATCCCTTCCGCTTCTAGCAGTACGTCAACATTAACCCTACCACCACCCGTCATCCCCCTGGTGACTCAACACCACCGCCAAAATATCACCATATTTTGTGTGTTGCGTGTGCACCTGCCGCCTCTCCCTACTCAGACACCAACACTGGTCATCTGCCTCGTTACTGACTTGTCCCAGACACGTCTAGAAGCATCAGACACGTCTAAACGACATCATGGCGACCATGGCAGCTGCTGCTCGCGATTTCGACCAGGCCTCCGACATGAGCCGAGACAACTTAGCTGTTGTAGCGGCTCGGAGTGTCCCTGCGACGACTGTGACACGATCTCAAGCCCTCCCCACCCCTCCCAACTCCATATCTCCCGCCCTGCCGCCTCACGGCCTCAAGGCCCAGCTTCAGAAGGCCAAGCTCGAGCCTATTGACTCCGACCTTGACCTGCACGACGAGCAGGCCCGGCGACAAGCCTCGCGCTCGCCCTCCCACGACACGACAGGCACCATCAGCACCTCGCTGCTGGCCAAGCACCATCTCCCCGAGATCCTCCTCAACCACGGCCCCTTGGCCATCCGCCACATCATGGGCTACCTGACAACGTCGGTACCGGGTTTCGCAGGAATCCCCCCGACGAAGGCTCGTCGTCTAGTGGTTGGAGCGTTGGAGGGCCGCGGAGGCGAGGGTGGCGGTGTCGACGGCGACGTGGAGTTTGAGAAGGTGGGCTGGGGGCGATGGGACGCCCGACGACGCGGACAGCCTTCGCGGAGCTCGCCTCCTGCAGACTACCGCTCCGGCATCCCTATTAGCAAGAACGGCGGACGCGGCACCGACAGGTCCCGTCTGAACGCTGCCTCTTCCAGCAACGGAGACGAGTCGTTCGTCTTCTCCCACGACGACCGCGACGTCATGATGATGGAATGCGAAGCGGACAAGATGTCCCTGGATGGCTCAGCGTCCGCATCGTGCTCCGAGGCTCCGGACGACGGCGACATCATGAACGATGACCCTGAGGACGCTACCGATGACGAGGACTGGGCTGCTGTGGGAGCTGCCGCTCTCCGCGCCGAGTCCTACAACGCTGCCGCTCATTCGGCCGGACGCAGCTTCCTCTCCAACGGTGTATATACTTCTGGAGGACTGCGATCCGTCGCAACCGGCATGGCTCGTACGCACCAACCTCTGCCCTTCGACTTCTCGGCGCTGGGGGCCACGTCTGACGCGCAAGAGCGTGAGGCGGTGGAGGCTCTCCTGCGACTGGGTTCTGTATAATACCATTTTGCATAGCACGGCGTTGGGGTTGGGAGATGCGCTGTGCGATCGGCTTTTTTTTGGCTGATGAGAAAACGTCTCCCTTTTTTGATTGGGTTCGGAACGGTTGGCTGGGTTGGCTGGGTCAAGCATTCCGTGTCATGATCATGGTGATTGGGCCGGCGTGCTCTACATCTCATCTCACCTCTCTCCATTGACACGGCGACACTACATTTTTCTGGGTTCGGCGTCCTGGCATTGGAACGACAAACCACGCCCTCGCGCGAAGGGCAATCAATGTGGCATTGGGCACCACTTTGCATTACGATCACGGCTCTATTGGAGGATACCCCTACATCTGTCTGTCGACTCTCGACGGATCACGCTTGGCCGGTTGGCCATTGGGACGTTCATCGCGCTCCATCTCTGGTCGAGTGTCCCCTGGCAACCCGATGGCAAGAACCAACGCAGCATGGCACGCGCTTGCAGGCCTCGGTATCTCAGGATCAGCTGCCATGGCACGGAGATCATGGACGGAGTGGGAACGATGACAGGTTGGAAAAGGCTGGCCTGACACCACACTCCCACACTTCGTTTCTCTCCCATTCATGCGTATACTTCTTTTTGCACATACCCCATTGTTTTCTTTTTACATCTGCATACCCCCACTTCAACAATCGTGGAGGAACAACACAACACATCTAGGCTGGGCGAGCGTCACCTCGTCAGCCGCCACATTTACACCCTTCTCATCACCTGTTTAATTACCTGGGGGTTTGAAGAAGCACTATGGCTACTCGGGCTGTTTCGGCACCGAATGAGAAAAAGAAATATCGACACATACACATACTGTATCTTGCGGACTGGAGATGTTGGACCTGAAGTGGTTTTTGGCAACTCTCGCGGAGGACAGGACGCGCAGGAAGAGGGAAACAAAAACCCGATGATGCTTGGCTCGCTGATATCGTCCATTTTCTGATCGGCTTTGGAGCACCATGTCTTTTGTGGGGCATGAGGATGAGCACAGGAGAAAATTCGAAAAGAATTAAACAAAAAAACCTCCCCCTTTTTTTTTTGGTGAACGGCGGCTTTGGGGGTTTTCTACGCTTGGGCGGCTAGGTCTAGCTCAAAGAATGGAACTCTTGACTGTTTGGTCCCATTTGATGGTCTATCGTTATCGTGACTTGTGCTACTGAGGGTTGTGATGCGTCTGGGGGATGAGCTATAAAAGCTTCACAGCTGGGACTGTTCTCGGAGTTTGCCCAACAATGGGCCGGGGCCGGAAGGACGGTGACCGGATCCTCCTCGAGCCAGGTCATTGTGAAGATGATTCAAAGCATGCTGTTGTAAAGCGTGTTTATGATTACTGACATCAACTGCATATTGGTTGTCTCGACGGCTACCTCTATTGTCAGTGGTTGATACGCTTGACGATATCATGGACGGGAGCAAATAGCAACAGGAAGATGGCAGTTATTTCACTCAAATCATATCATAAGGGGCCGCTCTTGATTCCATTGATGATGGACTGAGGCACTGCTGCATCGCAAAAAGCCTGTGGATGCCGAAAGATTGGTTGACTGAAGAGTCACATCTACATGGGGCCTTGTACAGAAGGGCCTTTTTCTGGTCTGCGTTCTACCTCGGCATCTTGAGGGAAGCCGGGGAAGTGTTGAGGATATATAAGTGGTCCTCGCGTGCCACTTGTCAAGTCGAAAGACACGACCAAGAATGGTAATTCGGCGATCATCTCTTTCTAATGGATGGCGCGAAGTGGCAGGTTCATACCTAAGATTGTGCAGAGGTTATCGAACGCTCGTCCTGTCACGACGTCGAGCAACTCCTGGGTTGTTGGGAATACGAATAAAGAACCAGAGAAGATGAGGAGCGAAGCTTGTTGTCTTGGACGAGGGGGGTACTTTCACGGCATAGGTTTTGCTCGGCCTTGACGTCGTAGCTCTCTGCCAAGTGACGCGTCCTCAGACTGTGCCACACGCTCGTGTCTGTCATATTTGGCAATTCCAGATATGCGAAACGACAACAAGTCTTTTTGTAGTTGGCGTATGTGTCTGGGCTTTGGCGAGGATATTTAAACTGAGGTTCTGCTGCTGAAACGTGGTAATCTTCCAGCCAATACGTCAACCTCGATGATTCTCGCGATATCGGAGTTTTCTGAAGGCTTCCGCTCGTTGCAGATTTATTGCTTGACAGTGCCCTGAGATTCGCCATCGGGGTATGCGCCCCTGGTGTTGGGGTCTTATTCTGGGGAACACACCATGAAAGACGTCTGACGACGAATCTTGCTGAAGGTAGATTGAGTTCAGGGGCTCGGAAGCCTGGTGTTGATGAGAGCGAAGAATATGAAATGAGCTCCATGAAGGGTTTTTAAGTTCCACTTAACGACGTCACAGATCTCTACCATTGGGGTTCCTGGCCTAGAAACCGAATTTCGTCGTTGCTTTTAAGCTGGATGACGTCTGGTTTCTTTCGCCTGTGCCGCACAGCGCGGACGGCAACGTTCTAGGCAGGGGTAAGCTAGAGGATCAGAGGAAGTCTTGTGTCTATATATTAAGACGTGCCCTACTGGGAGAAGGAATTCGTTTCAACAATCGGACAAGATTGTACCCGTCGTTTTGTCTACAATGAGCATTTGAGTTGTGCCTTTTCCAAGACGTTCTGTCTGGCTTGGGAACGGGAACCTTGCGCGGACGGTTCCAGGACCGATGGAGTCTTCAAATACGACCATCATTTGGCTCTGCTGACCTCTGGGGCTTATTCAGAGGATATATACCATCATTGGTATCCCTTTTGAAACGAGGGCTGAGGTTTTATTGGCGCGAAGCACGTGTATCGCAAGAGGCTTATGCTGCTTCGCTGCACTTCAAAAGCAATCAATCATGGCTTAAGACATGGGTTGCATTTGGAGCTCATCATCGGTCGAACCTAGTCTTGGTCTTTTATAGCCACGGAATTGGGACTTTGAGAGGACGGACTCAACTATTAAAGCCAGAACTTGTTGATGTTGACATCTTTCTCGGCAGCAAATGCTAATCTTCGATAGGTGACCAACAGTCTCCATGAAGTGACACGCATGAGGTTGGCGAGAAGGAGACTAGTCAGGCTTTCCATTAAGAGTCTGTTTCCGAGGTTGCGAAAGGTGTTCCTCCGGTCTTCTGAACCTTCATCCCTATGTCTTTGAGAGCATGTGATGTGTATACAATAGGGACGTAATTGACGTGAAATGGGAAACAGCAAGGCTCAAAGATTCCGACCTTGAGGGAAAGACAAGCTCACAGATGCCGCCACTGAGACAAAGGAGATGCGGAGATTGGGTGGTGAAATTGTTGCCCTGACGTCTCATTTGCAAATCAGGCTGCAAGAGTCACAAGTTATATCTTGGTATCAATGTTGCATTATGTCGCTGATTCGCTATGAAGTATATACATATCAACCACCCTAGACCAGGAACTCATTGGGCACGTAGAGCGGCATGGAATCCTCCCACAAGCTGTCCGTCAACATGCGCTTGTTGGATCCGTCAGCATCCATAACAATGATCTGGCCGTAAGGCTGGAAGGTCTGGTCGTAGATGGCGGCCTCGTCACGGAAGCCGTACATGCCGCTCGAGTACAGGATCCTGCCGTCAGCGGTCCAGACGGCGTGGGCGTCGTTGGCGCCGCTGGAGGTGAGAATCTGCAGGTCCGTGCCATCGGGACGGATGGTGGCGACGTCGAAGTTGGTCGAGCTCACCTTGCGGGTGAAGACGAGGCGCTCACCATCGGGTGACCAGAAGGGGAGGTTGTCCGTGGCGTTAGTCAGGCTGCGGACTTCACGAGTCTCGAGGTCGAGGATGCGGATGCCGTAGCGGAGACCCCACTCGCGGAAGGCGACGTAGCGCCCATCGGGAGAGTAGCTGGGGAAGCCAGAGTGGACGGTGCCGTCGGTCAAGGCCTCGTAGTAGCTTCCGTTGGAGGTGGCACGGTAGACGCGGGCCTTGCCGGTGGCGCGGGACTGGAACCAGGAGCCAAGGCCAAAGACAACCCACTCTCCGTCAGCAGACCAGGCAGGCTGGAAAGCACCGGCAAGACCCTTCGCGACGAGGGCGGAGTCGAGTTCGCCGGTGGAGTAGGAGTCGAAGACGAGCTTGAGATCGCTTCCGTCGGGGTTCATGGAGACGATGGAGGAGTTGCCGAGCTGCTTCTGCGTGATGACGAGGCGGCCCTGGAGAGAAAGCTGGGGGAAGACGTCCGTGGATCGGTACTCCCAGTCCTCATCCCAGCTGTAAAGGGGCTTCTCCTGAGCGCGCGCGGTGAAGCCGACCTTCTCGTAGACAACGAACTTTCCATCAGGGGACCAAGCCGGGGAGCGGATGGCGGCCTTGACGGCGGCTGTCGCGCCGGAAGTGTAATTGTAACCCTCGTTATCGTTGCCCTTGATCAAGTACGCGATGTTATCGGTGGCATCCGTTTCCCCAGACAACCACTGGGGGAACATCTTGAGACCAGAGCCAGAGGCGTGCTCCACACGATCAGTTCCAGTCTCAAAGTCGACGGAGACGATCGCGGAGGTGACAGCGGCGACGGACTCGGGTCGATGGGCGTTCCACGTGTCCTCGACGGTGATCTCGTAGTACACCACGCGCTTGCCATCCGTAGACCACTTCGGGGAGCCGAGGCAGTATCCGGACTTCGTGGCAACTTCGCGGAAACCAGTGCCGTCAGGACGGATGGCGTAGACGGAGAGTTCCTGCGTGTGTTCCCAACCGGTTCCGTTGCCATGGCCACGCCACGCCGTGTTGCGGTCCGAGGCAAAGGCGATCCATTCGCCATCAGGAGACCAGCTGGGCCGGAAGTATCCATCCGGCAATAACGGGTCGCCGGCAATCTCGGCGGTGTTTGTGAGGTTGCGCCTCTCCCCGGTGGCCAGGTCCTGGACCCAGATGTTGGTCTTGTAGCCGTTCTCGGTCGAGACGAAGGCGAGCTGGGTTCCATCAGGAGAGAGCGCGCCGGCATCCTCGACAGATGGCGTGGCGATGAGCTTCTCCAAGTCCGAGCAGGTTCCGTTGGCCGCGGCAGAGACACGGCACCTGTACAGGTCAGAGTTTCCGTCGCCGTTGCGCTCCGTCGTGAAGACGACCCATTGACCGTCCGGCGAGAAGGAGGCGTGGTACTCGAAGGAGGAGCTGTTTCCGAGGAGCTTACGCTCGTTCGTGCCGTCCGCGTTGGCGATGTAGAGTTCAGACGAAGAGGGGCCGATGCGGTTCATGAGGAGAACACCCTTCTTGCCGTCCGCGGCCGGAAGACCACGAGCGGAGTGGGCTTGTGGGAGGGCCGCAGAGTTGAAGTCTGCCCGCATCTGGTGGACATGGCGGGCAAAGGTTGAGCCTGTGGCGAGGCCAAGGACAGAGTAAAGGAGCGACGACCGCATCTTGGGGCAACCTCGAGGAAGAAACGAACGAGAGGAGAGAGGCTGGGTGGCGAGTAGGAGAAGAGGATATCTATGAGGCCGCTACATGTTGTCGTCTTATATGTATTCCGCTCCGCACAGCCTGCCTGCATTCGCCATCGAGCGCATTTGGAGATTCAACGCCAAAGTTCGACATTGACGAATTCTTCATCGACCAGGGTCCAGGGGATCGGCACCGAGCCCAGATCACTGCGAGTTCATTGGTGTCCATCAAGATTACAACGCTTCCTTCCCGCACAATTGCCGTTTTCCGCCTGCGGAGGGCAATTAAGGTCTTGGCAACGTGGGAGGCAAGGGTCGTGGCAAGAGCTTGTTTAGACAGTTGGCTCCGAAAAGAGGTTGAAGAGGTGGTAGCGAAGCTTCCTCAGCGCGATGCTATTCGATCGCATCTGCCCCACTCACGGGCCTCGGATACCTCCCGCCTGCAAGTGCCTGAAGTGGAGGACCCGAGCCTATGGAGAGGTTCCCATCCTCCTGCTTGATTAAACGGACGCATGAGGAAGGGGCCCAATAGTGATTTAGTGATTTTGCATCACCTGCGTTCTTTGGAAGCGTACCGAAGTCCGATGAAGAAAATAAGTAGGAGGCCTGCAATGAAAAAAAAGTCATGCAACGGTGCGGGGGTGATGCGAACACCAACCGGGGGTTTTCATGTACGGCACCTTTGATGGAGTGATGTTGAAGTTGACTTGTCTTATCAATCAGTTTCTTTTCTGCAAGAACGATCTAACTTGATCCACCCCTGTCCCGAGAGAAAGGTTTGCTACTTAGTACGGCGTTTTCATGCCGGCCGAATCGGCGGCGAAAGGTTCCACTTTGAGAAGCTCGGCCTCGGTCGAAGACCAGCAGTCGGTTTTTCCAATTTCATGACCCGTGGCGTGGCAAGGTGCAGCATGAAAATCTTGAAACATATCGAAAGGCTTGAGTTCATTCTGAAGTTTCCGAACGACCTTAATCGAAAGCATCTGCTGTGGCAGGCAGTTTACCACCTGTTGGAACACGATCTACGTTTGGCGACACAGGCGATAAGGTATTCATAAAACGACGGGTTGTAAGCCAATCTCTCCGGTCAATTGACTAAGTGAGGTTCAAAATTTGGCATAGTCACTCCATGAGCCTGCAGGAAACAGAACGTCTAAAGAACATCTCAACCAATAGACAACTAGGCTATGATAGATAATCGACATGGAAATCTATGCAGTCAAGTTATCTCTAAGAAGAGAACATTCACAACTTGATCACTATGCGTAATAGTATCTTGATATTATTATATACCTCTTTAGCATATGTTGTCACTAACGTCTTTAGCGTCATCCTCTTCACTTCCCTCTCTGCTCTAGGCAGCTCTCATCATAGAATTCGACAAATATAGTCTAGTTTGTAAAGTTAAGACTAAACCATCTTGTCTGCCCACCTTAGGTGAGTCTTGACTTATAGGTAACTATAAGGGTTAGTCGGATAGATCTCATGTCTTAATAGAAAACTTAGGCGAAGTGATGAAAAGTTAGCAACTGCGTTAAGAATTTATTTTATTCACAAAGCTGCCTAGTGATAAAAGGCTAATCTAGTCTGTTTTCCTTCCTTCGTCTTTCTAGGAGAGTCTTACTCTCCAGGCGGATACTTCTAGCTCACTAGGCAGATAAGTACCTATTTAATACTTTATTTTATCTTAATTAACTTTTACTATTATTATCGCTATTTATATCCCTCTCTCTATCCTTATTATTATTGTTATTATCGTTGCTAACGTTATTATCATCGTCGTTATTATTTTTAGCATTGTTATCGTTTTCGTATTATCCCTATCGTTATATATCTACTACCCGCCTGGTTAGCCAGAAGCATCCGCCCGGATAGCAAAACTCTTCCGGGAAATCGCTTTATGATACGGCTAAATTCATGATCAGAAACGGACAAACAAGCTTCATAGCTTCCTCCTTCCTTGACTTGCCCGTACTTGCGTCAGCCATCTTGAGTTGTAAGACATGCTAATTACTTTCAGAGCTTGCGCGGCAATAACACGACCTCAAGCTCTGATTCTCCAGTTTGTAGAATCTTTAGCAGACTATAATTCAACTGAGCCTGGATGACCAGCGAGTACTTCTAAATAACTCGAATTTTGAGGTTCAGAAGTGGGATGAGAGAGGAAATTTGAAGCCTAAAACATGGAGGCTCATGATGATCCTGGCACACATAAACATGACTACCACAGACTACAAGTGGTCAAGGGCTTGCTTCAACACAATAGACATAGCATGTAATAGCACAGTCAGTACTGAGGTCAGTAATAATTTGGCACGTTAAAAGCTCCTAAGGGGTTGTGTCTTTCTGGCATATCAAATCAGTGAGACCACTACAACAGACTGTCATGAGAAACGTCCTGTGCGTAACTCCTTGATCATAAATGATGACGCAGTATTTATGGTTTCATCCTTCGCCGTCTAAACTTTACATTACATGTTGACTGCGCATCTAATAACCCTCATCTGACTGGTATCATTCTTTGTCAGTGTGACATTGATCCAAGGTTGCGACCTGTTCTCATCACACCTCAGTTCCTAATAAATACGAGTAAAACTTCACTAGAAGATTCTTACCATCGAATCGAAAACTCCAGAACCACATTAGAGCCCATCTTGCCCTAGCAGCACGTATCTTGCAGACCCTGTTGCAAGCTGAACGTAGAGCAGGAAGAAGATGAGAGTCATGGCTAAAGTAGCGACCAAAAGCGCCACGCTGGTTCTCAATCGTCGCACCTTTCTCCTCAAGGCCTCAAGCTCGTCTTCTACGGTTTTGATCGGCGGCGGATCATCCGGAATCTGGCGCTCTTCGTCGTTGGTAGATGACGACACTCGTGACTCATCCCGCCGGACTGCTTTGTACTGTCCTCGCTTCGACTTGAAAGAACTCATTTTGGATTGACGATAAAATAACCCAAGAGATCAAGAAACGAGACACGCGACAGGAAGAACGTTATCGGTAGGAAAAATGTCATGAAGCCAGGACTGTTGAGATTCTGCTGTTGAGGAGGGGTCGGCAAGGATCCTAGCTGGAGGTACGGCATCAAGGTTCGGTCAAGACTTAAGTTGGCCGGTTCGGTCCGATATGCTTGGTGATAAAAGGACTCCCTCGCGCAAAACTCCTGTCACCGTGAGACATCAATCTTCTACCAAAAACTGGCCTTGGCGTTTAAAAACTGCTCAGGACTAATTCCCAAGCCGAGGTAGCGAGAAAAGACCTGTGCACTGACTTCCATTTGTGTTCCTTCATCATAGCGTAGTCAGGCGATGTTTTCCTCAAAGGAGTGAGTCGTTTCATAAAATTTAGTTGATATCCGACTCCGAAAACCAAAGGTACGTACAGTCTAGACCATTAAGAATCTACTTGTTCATGAAAAATTCCTCAAAATCCTCATCGGGTAGCGCAGGCTGCTCGTCCACGCCATCCAGCAGGCCCAGATACCAGCTCAAGTCCCTACCGTCCTGCTCACGAACCGCGAATCCGTTGCCCCAGTACCCAAACCGATTCGTCGTGGTGTACTTGAGCTCGTAATCCTCCCACCGCGGGGTGTTGATTGTCTCGAAGAACTGAATTCTCGAACCAGGCCACATCATCGGCTCGCCGTCGACAGTGCCCTGCTTGAACCATGACCGACAGGGCGAAGTCCATGCCGTGCGCGGGAGGAATTTCCTGCGGTGCTCAACGAAGTCGTTGACTGCCTCCTGCCTGGGGCAGAAGGATGCAATTTCCTCCTCGGACATTTTCTGCAGCAGTTGCATGACGTAGCGGGCCACGGCCTCGGTGATGGGAAGGAAGCTTCCGTGGCCGTAGGGTCCGAAGGGCCCGTTGAAGACTTGGTTCAGTGTTAGCCAGCATATTCCTTCGATGGGAAGATTTCGAGGTTGCTTACTGATGTAGTTGGGCATGTTTGCCACCGTCAAAGACAGATATGTGTTTGGCGTCTCTTTCCAGTACTCGCTGAGACTGACGCCGTTGCGGCCGATAGTGGGATAATGCGGGCGCCAGCTGACGTCGAAGCCGGTGGCGCAAACGATGATGTCGAACTCGTGCTCAGTGCCGTCTGCTGTCTTGATGCCCTTGGGTGTGATTTCCTGGATACTTGATGACACGACGTTCACGTTCTCTTTGCAGAGCGCCTCGAGGTAGCCGTTACCGGGCGTCGGCCTGCGGCAGCCGACGGCGAAGTCTTTGGGGATGATGAGGTCTTGAAGATCAGGTCTGGGCGCAAGCTTAGAGCGCATGTCCTTCTCTGCGAACTGTACGACAAGATGATGAGTGGGGTTGTTCCAGATGGATAGGCAAAGCTGCGCCACTTACATCTCTGGCATCTTGTTGCTCTTTTGATCCGTTGAGGATGAAGCGGAAGCGGGAGTTGAGTTCTGACTCGATCTTCTTCCTGTACGCCAGGTACTTCTTGGGGTCGTTGCGGAGGATCTCGTGTTGCTCCTCGCTGTCTGCAAGCAAGCGAGTCAGCTCCGTGAGACTCGAATATCGCGGACAAACCACTTACACTTGAAGTTGCTACCATTCTTTCCGGCAAACCGTTGGCCAAAGCCACCGACAACCCACGAAGAGCTACGAATGAAACAGCTCAGGCTCCCAACGACTATACAAAGTTAGCACACAGATTTATTCACGGAGGGAAAGCAACTCACTGGGCTGGATGTTGGGGACGATTTGAACTGCAGAAGAACCGGAGCCGATGACGCCGACGCGCTTTCCCTCGAGAGAGATGCTGTTGTCCCAGTTGGCGCTGTGAAGCATCTTTCCCTTGAAGGTTTCCCTGCCCTTGATGGCGGGCCATTTCCACTTGCTGGGAGCATTTGGTCAGATTATGATCGAGCTTGAGAAAGTTGTGAAGACTTACTTCAAAACACCGCTAGCATTGACAAAGATGTCGGCCGTATCTTCAATGACGGTGCCATCCTGTTGCTCGACGCGAATGTTCCACTTTTGCGTGGGTTCGTCCCAGAAAGCACCGACAACTCTGTGGTTGAGGCGGATGTACTTGTTCAAATCATACTTCTCCGCGACATCTTTGAAGTACTGAAGAATCTCAGGGGCACTCGAGTAACTTTGTGTACCTCGTCAGCAAAGCCCTCCCGTGGTAAGAATTACTCTAATTTCTTCACTCACAATTGCGTCCACTCAGGCGAAGGCGCCCAGGAGAACTGGTAATTGACCGAGGGGATGTCACATCCGCAGCCCGGGTAGCGGTTCTCGTACCACGTTCCGCCGATGGAAGGGTTCTTCTCGTAACACACAAGCTCGAGATCGAGAGTGTTGCATGTGCTGACCTCATGCGCGAGGTTGAGAGCGCTCGCGCCACCGCCGAGACAGACGATGCGGAGCTTCCGGCCGCTGCGGCTCGGCTTCTCCAAGATCTTGTACTCGGGCTTGACCGGAGCGGGGAGAGAACCCATGTTTGCGCTTATCAACTCCGGGGGGTTGAACAGGGGGCGGGGAAGAGTTGGTCAGGGGTATCGGTCAGGGTTGTTGTTGCTGTTGAGAGTGAGTTGTGAGTTGTTCTATGAGATTGAGTGATGAAAAGAGAGAATGTGCTGCGACTGCCTCAGAAGCGATAACATGTTATCTTTCGGGAAGATCATTCTTATATGGCAACTTGAGACTTTGGTAACATGATTGGCGATCCGTCGTACCCCGCGAATGCGGCGTTAATTCGTGTCCTCATGCTGAGCCTGCGGAGCTCCGCTAAAGACAAGCGCGTGATGGTTGAAGAGGCATCTCCACTTATTGCGAGGCTTGTCCCCTTTCACCCGCGGCCTTCACTCCGCCGCCACCTCCGCCTCCGCCTCCACCGCAGTCAGCGCAAGAACACCTCGAACATCTGCCGCGGGAAGTGTGTTGGCTCGCACGATATTATCGGCAATCAGGGTGGAGCAGAGGAGATGGACCAATCTCGAGGTGGTGTTGAGGACCATTCGGAGGCGACTTAGTAAGAGCACTCCTGGGGAACCGATAGCGATAACCTTGAGAAGTTGCGTAACTGGGATTGGTTTAGAGGAAGCGGGACTAGTCCTTGTAATTGACAACATTTGGTCACGATTTAGGTGTTCTAGGACATAAGGAACTAACAGATTGAATCAGATTTCCTGGTAGAATGCCTGTTAGGAAGAACAAAGACACCTACACAGCGTGATGACCGAATGCCACATGAATTTGATCAATTTATCTTCAGAAAGACGAAGAGCTATCCAGCACAACGAAAGAGAGAATCCGTTTTCAGCCCATATCCTCCCGTCTCCGCTTTCTACTCTTCCCCCGTCCGACCCCTTGATCAACCCATTCAAGCAGCCGGGGTCCAGGGGTATCCAGGCAAGTACTTCTCGCCGTATGAGAAGGGGCAGTAGACCGCAGGGCAGTTGCACTCCTCGTCCTTCGGGATCGCACTGCACTTGACGGGGAAAACCTCCGAGTTCGGGAAGCAGCAGCAGCACTGCTTCTGCGTCTCCGGCTCGTGCGGGCACAGCTGCAGGGTGCAGATGGGGTCCTCGGCGCCGCCCTGCGCCTCCGGGACCTTGCAGTTGTACCCGGGGCGGCTGCTGTCGCAGCAGCAGAGGTTCGCGGCGGGGCGCGGGGCGTCGCGGACGTCGATGTCGGCGGGGGAAGCGGCTGTGGGGCCGGCGTTGAGGAGGAGGACCAGGGCGGCGGTCGTGATGTTGGCGATGGAGAATCTCATTTTGGTAGTTTTGAGGTGGTTGGTTTGTCTGGAAGGAGACTTGGAGTGATAATATGGATTATATATTAGGGTGCAAAGAGGATGCTTTCTGTGATGTTTGCTTGTGTCTTGTGTGATGAGAAAGAAAGAGGCCCTCGAGGTTTGGTTCCCTTTGATGGTTTATATATCCCCGCGGCCACACACAACAAGACACAGCGCAGTTGGTTTCGACCAGCAATTCTTGTTGCTCTGTGTCGTTCAAAGGTAACAAGCCAACGATGACAACATCGCCAAGCATGACTATAGATCATTCGGGATGCGTAGTATCCTACCTTACCCTCGACGGAGCAGCACACACCGAGCGTAAGACAGAGTGAGCACCTCTACTTGCAAGCTTGCAGCTTAGTAGCAAACCGTTGTGGTAAGTTATGTCTCGAAAAGACTAAAATAACATTGCCCAGACGAACGAGTCTGTCGATCAGCGCCCGGTATGGACTCCAACTCGCTCCCTGCAAAACCTAAAGGATCGGGTCGTTAGCGCTTCGAGTTTTCCTCTTTACCTTACCCCTTACGACCGTTCCGCCTCTGGGATCTCAAGTGGCAGGCGAATCGGCGTATTTCCACTCTTCGCGTCTGACGTATCGTATCGTAGAAGATGTGACCGAACGAGGAAATTCGGGGTAGGGCTGCTTACAACCTCGCCCCGGTGGGCGGTGGCCATCGCACCGTTTGCTTGGCAGTTGGGTCAGCGAGCTGTGACTTCAAGTTCATGATCTGGGGACATGCTAATGAAGGATGACCATTGGGTGAAGTCATCTTGAGCTCAGCTTCCAAGAAACCTTTGTGGGAGTGATTTCTCGGAAGAAGGGCCGACCACAGGGCTGACTTGTCACTTGTGTCACTCGTCGGAGTCCTCGGGCCGGCGAAATGTCGGCTCTGGAATGTCTGAAGGGATGAGAAAAACAAGCAAGACCCAATGGGTACAGACGTCTCACCGCGCCCGTGTTCTGCCAAGAAGCGTCATGAGGTTTGCTGAATGAGGTTTGTGTTACGATGGCTTGGAGTCCAGGCCAGCTTCGGCGACTTTGGGATCATTTGTTGCCGGTTGACATCGGACTCTAGTCGGTCGACCTGCTCCTCGCTTGCTAGGAGCATTCCACAGACGCATCCCAAAGCCAGATCTTCGTGCTAATCTTCGACGTCTGAACATGGTCAGCAGGATAGTAGCAGATCTAGACGACGGTGTGCTCCTCATTCATGCTAGTCTACCAAAGAAGCTTGATTCCAAAGACCACATGAGCTATTTTCATCTCTGATTTGGATGAATTCATCTCTATCTATAAATATAGATCCCAAGGGACGTGGAACAGACGGGTGCGGTCCGACGGAAGGCGTCCTGGGCAGACGTTGCCGATGACGCCCCACCCCCGGATCCGGCACTTTGCGGACCTCGACGGCGGTTTAGACGGGAGATCGGGCTAAACACCATTTATAGCACAGCAACGTGATGAGTACAGGCTCGTGATAAGAGACCATTGGTCGTGGTGAGAGGGGAAACAAGGATCGTGGCGAGATGACGGAGTCGGCGAAAACCTACAATGAGTTCACGACATTTTGAAGGTGGCCCGGTCCTGTCGTGAGTCTCGGGAGTGCCCTAGTCTTCCAGCCTACGACACCACGAGCTTCGAGCTTCGAGCTGTCTCCCGGAACATTTGTGAGACAATCAGATATGACAGGGCCAACCGAGTAGAGGACAGCAAGGGCTGGCAGGGTTAGCTGTCTTGAAAAGGCCGATGCCAACCGAAATGTTCTTGATCAACCATCACAATAGGTACAACCATCACCCTGCCAAGGACCCTACACGAGATTGGCCAACCTGAGTCAAGTATGTAGTTGAGACAATCTCATCACCTTGGTAGAGCGAGTTGGAATGAAGTCACCGTGAGAACGTCATGGCAGAGGTGCAATAAGCATTTTTCATTCGACCCTCAATCGAGCCTAGGAGACTACATAATGGCGAAGCAACATGACTTGTTTTCATGATCTCATTCCCGTTCCAATATCCGTCCGTTATAATCCGCGACCGTTTTGAGAAAAAGTGTTTCCGCACCAAGATGTTGGTTGTTTTTGCTTTGCTCGCAAAGCCCTCCCGAATGTAAAAAGCTTCTTTCGCTCCCCTTCGTTGACGTGATAGATGAAATAAATCAAAAGACGTGTTTTTTGAGGGGTTTCCGGTGACCACCAGTTGGCACCGGGGGTGATAAACCACCACAATCCATCTGCGTTTTGGGGACTGCGCATCAATCCACTTCCCCTTTCAACTTCCGACCGACCAGGGTATGTAACGTAACAAAGAGGTGTGGGCTTCGACAGGTGGGAGATGTTTTGCCAGAAGCGCTTTGTAGGCAATGTAAAAAAAGAATGCAGTAGAATAGAATACGAACCAAGGTTGAACCAATCACTTTGCCCTTTCCTGTTGGAAGAAAACTTTTCACAAACACGCTTGTAGACAACTGTTGGTACACGCACCCAGCTTGGTAGTGACTGGGGCCTCGCTTCTTCAGCACCGGCTCATGTTGAGTTGCGGATCTCAGTTGGGCATGCGCAAGACAGGGTACAGCGGCGCTGCCGGAGCGGGCTTGGCGTCAACCTCCATAGGCTCAGGAGACTTGAGACGGCTGGCCTCCGTGGAGCGAGCCTCCTCGGCAAAGTCCTTGCGATCGATACGCTCGCGGATGTACTCGCGCAGAGCCTCGATAGTTCGCATGTTCTCGAGCCATTGGTCGTACTTCTCCTCGCGGTCACGAGCACCCTCACTCATGTCGGAATCGGAAGAGGCGGACGGAGAACCAATAGAGGAGGCGACAGACTCGGCCTTGGGGGTGGAGAAGCCGGAGGAGTCCTCCCTGATGATGGGCGATCTCGGTGACGAGGGGTTGGCACGCTGGAGCATGCCGCCCGAGTAGCGTCTGCGCTCGTTGCTGTCGAAGCTGGGTCCGAGAGTAGAGGTCGTGGACTGACCGGGGAAGACGGAGCTGACAGCAGGGAGGTTGGGGTACATGACTGAGGATGCGGTCGAGGAGTGTCTTGATTGAGGAGACATGCCGGAAGAGGAGGGGCTGGGCGAGTGACCAGAGGTGTATGACATGGTGCTTGAGGGGGGAGTGACGGCGGGCGTTCCAGTGGAGGAGATTGCGGTGAGCGGCGACGCCATGTGAGCAGCGGAGACGGCGTCGTAGCCGCCGTTGGAGACTTGAATGCCGGCGGCGGAGCCTCTGTGGCCGCCAGGAGGCGAGGGGCTGTTGCGGAGATCGAACGTGTTCTGGCCGTGGATGTGGATTCCTTGGGTGGCCTGGTTCGCGTTTTCGTAGACAGTGCTCTGCATTTGCTCCAGAATCTGATCGATCTGGATCAGATCGTTCTTGGTGCGGGCGTTGGGCATGGGCGGCAGGTAGTACTGCTGGGTCAGAGGACCAGGACCAGAGGGGGCACCACCGACGTGCTGGTGGTGCTGTACGTGCTGCGGGGGAGGAGCCGCCATGTAGTCGGAGCCAGGCATGGGACCGGCGTGGAGGCCGAGGGCACCGTGGAGGGGGAGAAGGGATCGGCCTACTTGTTGGTAGGAAGTAGGGTCGACCTGGCGGCGCTTGGCGTGTGCAAAGAAGTCGTCGACCATGTCGAAAGCGCGCTTCCGGTTGTCGTAGCCGCCATGGTGGCCGATGTACTCAGTTCGGGGAGGGTTCAAGGGTTGTTGGTTGAAGTACAGTCCATAGTTTGTAGATGGTTGGGGAGCATAGTAGCTAGCATGCCCAGCCTGGTGTGCGAAGGCGGCCGAGTTAGTCCTCATGTGGCCATTATGATCATAGTAGCTAGAAGAAGCTGGAGGCACATTAGCCTCTGGTTGGGAGAAAACGAGAGGACATTGGATGCGCAAACTGAGCTGTACATACCTTTGCCAGGCTGCGCCCGATAGCCGTTCATCCCCTGGTCCTGAGGTGATCGGCCGACGAGCACCGAGTCATCGGCGTGGGTCTGGGAGTGTGAGCGACGTGGGATTCCCCTGAGATTGGAGGTTGATTTACCTTGACGTGCTTCTTCAAGTCCTGAGGGCGCTTGAAAGACTTGCCGCAGAACTCACACTTGTGAGGCTTGAGCGGGACGTGGACGCGGATGTGAGAGGTGATGTGGTCACGCTTCACGGTGGTTGTCCTGCAGGAGTTCCACTGACAGGTCAGGTTCAGGTTGTTGGTGCTCTTGCGGCCGACATGGCGCTCGCAAATGTGCTCCTGTCGAGTTTGTTAGTCATGAGATTCTCATGTTGAGTGTTATGAGAGTGCGACTTACGTAGAGAGCCTCGGGCGTAACGAACTTCAGGTTGCAGCTGTTCCACTTGCAGATGAGGTTGTCGTCGGCGCTGGTGCTGCCGGCGCTCTGGGAAGTGTTGCTGGTGGCTGTCGAGGGCGCGGGAGTGCTGCTCTTGGGGGAGTTGCTCCCCGAGGACTCGTGTTCTTGCTTGGTGGACATGATGTGCGAGTTGACCGAGCTAGCTCGGTGAGGAAGTCCGGAAGATTAGGTTCGGCCGGGACCCGTTGGGTTGGGACACCGAAGACAAGGTGTGTGGGCGTAGGATGCTGTGTAAGTGGGAGTGGAGTCGAAGTCTGGGCTAAGGCAGGTGGAGGGGCCGATTGCCGAGAACAGGCGAGAAGATACTTGGGATCGATCAAGCAGCTGGAAATGTGAAAAAAGAGACGGTCAGCGATGCTTTATGTTTTTTGCTGACGGTCAAAAGACCAATAGTTGCTTTCGAGGGGAATTAATCAGACTGATTTGGGGGCATGGACAGACGGCTTCTCTCTTTATTCATGAATCACATTTCCTCTCCGCTCTTCCTACCCTCCCAAGAGCCTTGGCGAGTCTTGGCAAAGTCTTGGCGACCGGGGGCTTGTGAGACCAGCTGACTGGTGATTGGACGGTGGTGGCGAGGGCTTCCGAGCTGATGTCGCGGAAGATGGGGGGGGACA